GGCGACGACGACGACGACGACGGACGCTTGCCGACGCCCGCGCCCGCCGACGCCGCCGCCGTCGTCGGTCGTCGTCGGTCCGAAGGTGTTTTTTGTTTGGTTTTCCTGCTTTTGCCCCCCGCGGGGGCTTCGGGGGCCCGACAGGGCGCACCTGCTGACACCAGGCTGGAATAGATTCCAAGAGGGATGGTTCTGGGACCGATTTTGAGCGGACCGTCGTCGTCGTCGTCGTCGTCGTCGTCGTCGTCGTCGTCGTCGTCGTCGTCGTCGTCGTCGTCGTCGTCGTCGTCGTCGTCGTCGTCGTCGTCGTCGTCGCGCGCGCCAGCCAGGTGCTGGATTCGGCGGACTCCAACGGGGTCCCGGGGTCCTTGGGTCCCGGGGCCCCGCGGTCTGGGGGCCCTGGGCCCTGGGGGCTTGGGGCCCCGGGGCCCCGGGGGCCCTTGCCAAGGACCCCGGGGGGAGGAGGAGGAGGAGGAGGAGGAGGAGGAGGAGGAGGAGGAGGAGGAGGGGGAGGGAGAAAGGGAGGAGGGGGGGGGAGGGAGGAGGAGGAGGAGGAGGAGGAGGAGGAGGAGGAGGAGGAGGAGGAGGAGGAGGAGGAGGAGGAGGAGGAGAGAGAGGAGGAGGAGGAGGAGGAGGAGGAGGAGGAGGAGGAGGAGGAGGAAGCGGAGGAGGAGGAGGAGGAGGAGGAGGAGAAGGAGGAGGAGGAAAAGGAGGAAGAGGAGGAGGGGTCGTGGGAATTCTCGGGAGGTTCTGGGGTCATCGGGGTCCCGGAGTCCTGGGGGTCATCGGGGTCCTGGGGTCCGGACCAGAGGGGAAAGGGGTTCGGTTCGGTTCCCGTCGGTTCGGTTCAGGGGCCGCCCTGTTCCGGTTCGGTTCCGGTTCTGGTTCGGTTCGGTCCTCGCCGGTTCGGTTCTGAATGAATTCGGTTCGGTCCGGTTCGGTTGTCTACGTTCCTGGTTTTGGACAGGTTCGGTCCGGTTCGGTCACGGCGCTCGGTTCTCGGTTCGGCGCGGCCCTTTCATGCACGAGCATCCGACTCCTCGATGGTGCGTTCGTTTGCCTACCCCGCCCATCGGCCCAGGCGCCCAGGACGGGATCGGAGGATCGCGCCGCACCGCCGGTGCGTAGGCGATGCGGCATTGATGTGGAGCCGATCGTTTCTCGTTCGCCTGCCCAGCCCATCGGCCTGGGTACCCAGCGCGGGATCGGAGGATAGCGCCGCACCGCCGGTGCATGGGTGATGCGGCATCGATGTGGAGCCGATCCCTGGTGTCGTTGATGCATTGCCGACGTTGTCGGTGCATCGCCATCTCATCGGCGCTTCAGCGGGGGCGCGATCCTCTAACGCCATACGCTCTGGCCCTTTGGTTACGCGCATCGCGGGACGCGACGCGCGAAGTCAGGTTAGCGACGGAGGAGAACAGGGTCGAGTGCGCGGGTATTCGCTCGCAAGGTCGCGCGTAAGCGTTCTCTTCTCCACGAAGTGTACCACGCTGGCGGCTCTCGCAATCCGCGGCGTAGTGTCGCTGCGTCCTCTTGCGGATGGCCCGCTTCTTTTATCGAAGAAGGGAAACCTAAACATTTGGAACTCCGCGCGGAGCGCGCCACTCCGGCGTTGGACCCCCTCCCTAGCGCGCGGAGCGCGCCAGGGGCGGCGCCGGAGCAGCGCCACTCCATGGAATATGTGCGGAGCTCCAACAGTTGTGTATGCCGTGTTGAGGTTCCTCTGTTCAAGTGGCTTAATCCATTCCGTCGACCCCCACAATGAGTGAGTGTTTGAGACGTTTGCGGAACATTCATCTTGTGTCGGGACCTTCTAGATGAATCTGAGGGTCTCTTGGGATGCCTCTCTTGGGGCCTCTTGGAGGACTCCTGGGGGCAGGTGGGAGGTTTTGTGGGGCCTCGTGGGAGCCTCTGGGTTAGAGGTTCGGGGCGCAGGGCGCTCGGGAGGCGTGCCATTTTTTTCAGTCTGCAATGTTGGTTTGGTATTAACTGGTCGCCATGGGCGACGCGCCGACACCTCCAAAGTTGCACCGACGACCAGAAGATAGAGTGGCCAAGCTCCTGCGCGCAGCTCTACAGAAAGGCAGGGGACCTGGCACGGGAACATACTCAACCTCTGGGCGGCTTCTTGGGGGCGTCATTGGAAGGACGAACACCACACAGTCCTGCCATTCGGCCAAAAGCCACCCTTAACCAAAAACGGTCCTGCATCCATCTAGCGAACAGTACAGGCCGGCGACAAGGTAGACACATGTTTTTTCTTGTTTGTTTCTTTCTCGTCGCGCAGGGAGAGAGCTCCTCTGGGGGGCCTCCTCTAACGCCACCAGGGGCTCAGACGGTGACCCGCGCCTCCGCCGCTCAGGTGCACCTCCCCGCCCCGCCGCGCCAGGACCTTTCGGTCGAGGGGGGCCCGCGCCGGGACCCTTCGGTCGAGGGGGGGAGCGTTTATAGAATTGATTTCTCCTGCGGGATCCACGATTTTCCGCGGATTCGAAAGGAGAATCAACTTCGGGTTAAGTCAAATCTGTAGTCGATCCCTTACTCGAACCCTTCGGGGGTCAGGAGGGCAGCAGGCCAACGGCGCAGAACCGGCGCGTGAGGCCGTGTCAAAATTCCCTGTCGAACGTACGACAAATATGTATCATGTTCGTAGATCTACGAGAGTGATGCGCATGTTTCGTGGATTCGAGGAACAAATCAGGTTTGGGGTGAGTCAGTACTGTAGTTAGTCGATCCCCCACTCGATTCGGGGGCCAGGAGAGCAGCGAGCCAACGGCCCAAGACCAGCGCGAGAAGCCGAGTCAAGAAATCCTTGGGCGACCCGAGCAGTGGAACAGTTGAGCCGCACCCTTCCCTCGTGTTCCGTGGCGTTGCTCTGGGCCTCCCATATGGGGTCCGAGTAGAGGGGGTCGGAGGATCGCGCCGTATCGTCGATGCATCCGCGATGCGGCTCGATGTGGAGCCCGATTTTCTCCACGCTGGCGTCGCCGATACAGCCGATGCGTCGCCGACGCATCGGCGATGTATCGCCGATGCATGGGCGATGCGGGCCGCGATCCTCTGACCGCATCAACTCCGACCCCATGTAGGAGCCCTCTCTTTGCGGGGGGCGAGGGGACCCTCGCCGCCACGGCCGGGGGTCGCTCCAGAGTCCTGGCCAGAGCGCGTCCCAGGAGAGGTCCGGGGAGCAGCCGTGTGGGTACCTCCTTGAGCCCCCGCTGATTGAGCCAACAGAGGGTTCGGCGGCCTGGGCACGGCACTTGCCACGGCTGTCCCTGGGCAAGGGTCTGGGCATTGGCTCCAAGAGCTGGGCTCTCGGTGGGGGTAACAAGTCTGCACGCAGTCTCGCTTCGGGTTATCTATTCTGTTGTGGAGCCAGTTTTTGTTGAACCTCTGGCGATTACGGGGGAGAGGGGCTGGGGCCGTCAACACATGTAGTGCACCGAGCCATTCCCAAACAGCGCTGGCGCAGAGGGTTCCCTTGCCGTGGGGGGCGGTAAGAGGCAGGTCGTGAGCAGTTCAGCCAAATCGCCCATGCCATACCTATTACAAGTTGGCTTGGTAGGTGGTCATCGTTTGCTCGGTGCTATCTTATTTCACGTTGTGACGTCCGTCGCATCTGGGGTGCCGTGGAGTGTCGGAACAAGCGCATTCCACAGGGAGGCGTTCCAGGGTTGAAAAAAACGCATTACGACAAGCCACAAATTTGTGTCGCCGATCGTCGTCAACGATCGAGGATCGCGGCTCTCGGGCGGTTTCGGGCGTTTCTTGGCGTCCTTGTGGGCTCTGGGCGGGGTCCGGCGTGTTTAGTCCTTTCGTCCGTTCTTCTTCCTGAAGGGCATCCCTCAGATGTCCATGACCCGCTTCCCTTTGTTTTGTTGTTGGGGTTGAGGTGACGCGGCGATGAGCTCGCCGCAAGCGCCGGCGTGCAGGGCACAGCGAGTGGTTGCAGCGACGTGCGCAGGGATGTGCCGAGTTGGTGTGTGGTTCTCAGGGGAGCTCGCAGGCGGGCTGCGGGCATGGTTGAGTTCCAGAAGTCCCAGGCCCCTAGGCGTTTCGTTCGTTTGCGGCGTCTGTGGGCCCTCACCGGGCTCCGAGGCCGTCAAGCAGTTGCGTGAGACGACAGACGAGGTGTTTGAAGAATGGGCCCAGACCTGATGTGAGCACCCCCTTGGCGTCGCGGGAAGAAGTTTGAGTGGAAGGTGTCGCCAGTTTTCGGCGTCTGGGGGCCCTTACCAGGCGCCGAGACAGTCAAACAGCTGCGTGGGAAGAAACAATCAGCCACGCGCAGAGGAGGGTAGTTAGGGAGAGGGGGAAGCCTTCTTAGAAGTACCTTGTAAGAAGAGCCTCCTTCTAAGAAACCACCCTCCTCCCCCATGCCCTTTGCGCGCGCTGCCAATAGAAACAGGTGTCCGGGGAATCAGGGCTTCAGGTGGTAAACAAGTCACGACATCGGGCTTCGACGCTTCCGCCAGCGGAGGCGAGTTCGGGCCGCAACGAACATCTAGAGAATGCTCATCGGCAACACGTGCGAATTACACTTTGGACTGCGGTGGCGTCGGCAGCAGTCATGAAGCATAATGCGACCTCTAACCCAAATACCTCAATGAATTCGTGGCCTAATTTAGGTCCACGGCTTCTAGGCATATCCCTAAACATCTTGGTGGCTCCGTTTGACACAGCAAAATAAACCCCCTATCCCTAATGTGTATGGCCCTCCTAGCTGAGGTCCCTTCCCAAGGGATTAGGGGTTCTCTTATTGCTTATCAGCCAGGGATCTCAAGACGACTATTGCGAAAAACATGCCCCTGGGCCTGCGACATCGAGCAACGGTGACACGATACCGACAACCGTTCTATTCGAAGTCTGAGGCTTGAGCGAACAAAGAAGGACTGCCAGTCCGAGCGGGATGAAGGGTATAATGATGGCACATGTCGTGTGTCTTGACACGGTGCCCAGAGATCGTTGCCAACAGTGTGTTTCGCGTCATCCCGCAGGAGCAGGCGAAGAAGAAGGAGGAAGACCTGGCAAAGTCGCCGCACGTGGCGAAGGAGGCGCGGGCTCGAGCTCGGCTGCAGTGTGGCCCTCTTGCGCTGTGTCGACGCGGCGGCTTTGAGGCGAGGATTGATGCATAACCTTGGCATCGCTCGGATGTGTGCATGTATTTTTTCTTGGTTACGACCATGCAGGAGCATCCTGGTTCACCGAGCAGAATTAGCCCGACGAAGGGCCAAACCATATGCAGCTGCGAGCACCGCATGGTGGGTACCGATTTCGGTGGAGCTCCCTCTGGGGCCACGAACCGTGTGATGGGTGTGCCAACATGGGTAGCAGTCCCCGCATGCGGCCTGTGTCGCTGGGGCTCTCGGTGGAGCTCCCTGTGGGGTCACGAACCGTGTCAGGGGTGCGCCAAAATGGGTGGCGGTCCCCGCGCGCGGCCTGTGCCATTGGAGCTTTGCGGAGCTCCCTATGGGGCCACGAACCGTGTGAGGGGTAATGGGAGCGGTCCCCGCATGCAGCTTGTGCCACTGGGGCCTTCGTTGCTCCCTGTGGGGCCACGAACGAACCGTACGAGGGGTGTGTCAAAATGGGTGGCGGTCCCCGCATGCGGTCTGTGCCACTGAAGCTTTCGGTGGAGCTCCGCGTGAGGGGCGTGCCAAATGGGTGGCGGTCTCCGAGTGTGGCCTGTGCCACTGAGGCCTTCGGTGGAGCTCCCTGTGGGGCCACGAACCGTGTGAGGGGTGTGCCAAACTTTGTGGTGGTCCGCGCATGCGGCCTGTGCCATTGTTGCCTTCGGTGGAGCTCCCTGTGGGGCCACGGACCGTGTGAGGGATGTTCCAAAATGGGTGGCGGTCCCGACATGCTGCCTGCTCTGGTGGGGCCTTCGGTGGAGTTCCCTGTGGGGCCACGAACAGTGTGAGGGGTGTGCCAAAATGGGTGCGGCCCCCGCATGCGGCCTGTGCTTGTGGGGCCTTCGGTGGAGCTCCCTGTGGGGCCACGGACCGCGTGAGGGGTGTTCCAAAATGGGTGGCGGTCCCCGCATGCGGCCTGTGCCACTGGAGCCTTCGGTGGAGCCCCCTTGTGGGGCCACAAACCATGTGAAATGTGTGCCCAAATGGGTGGCGGTCCCCGCGTGTGGCCTGTGCCACTGAAGCCTTCGGTGGAGCTCCCTGTGGGGCCACGAACCGTGTGAGGGGTGCGCCAAAATGGGCGCATGCGGCCTGTGCCACTGAGGCCTTCGGTGGAGCTCCCTGTGGGGCCACGAACCGTGTGAGGGGTGTGCCAAACTTTGTGGTGGTCCCCGCATGCGGCCTGTTCCACTGTGGCCTTCGGTGGAGCTCCCTGTGGGGCCACGGACCGTGTGAGGGGTGTTCCAAAATGGGTGGCGGTCCCGACATGTTGCCTGCTCTGGTGGGGCCTTCGGTGGAGCCCCCTGTGGGGCCACGAACCGCGTGAGGGGTGTGCCAAAATGGGTGCGGCCCCCGCATGCGGCCTGTGCTTGTGGGGCTTTCGATGGAGCTCCCTGTGGGGCCACGAACCGTGTGAGGGGTGTGCCAAAATGGATGCGGTCCCCGCGTGCGGCCTGTGCCACTGGTGCCTTCGGTGGAGCTCCTTGTGGGGCCACGAACCGTGTGAGGGGTGTGCCCACATGAGTGCGGTCCCCGCATGCGGCCTGTGCCATTGGGGCCTTCGGTGAAGCCCCCTGTGGGGCCACGAACCGTGTGAGGGGTGTGCCAAAAAAGGGTGCAGTCCCCGTATGCGGCTTGTGCCATTGGGGCCTTCGGTGGGGTTCCTTGTGGGGCCACGAACCGTGTGAGGGGTGTGCCAACATAGGCGGGATGATGTTGTTGGTGGCGATGAAGAGGAGGAGGAAGGGGAGGAGGAGTGAAGAGAAGGTGACGCGGGGCGCTGCCTTTTCAAAGCGAGGACCGAACACCACAGGATGGCTGGGAACAACTCAGGTTCCCCCCGACACCATTCCTGGCACATCACCAGTACCTCGCGGAGGTGGTGGTGGTGGAGCTCCCTAGCGACCAAGGTCGAATGGTCGGAGGAGAAGACTGGGGTTACCCCCTCACTCACGCTTCGGCACCCCACAACTGGGGGGCGCCAGCGACAGTGCCCGTCGGCAGCTGTCGGCGCACGGCCGCAACACACGCTGCTGCAGCACTTCAAAACAAGAACAAACCATGCACAACCTCAAACTGCTCTCTCACTGCACTCTGCTCACTCGCACATGCACGACATACACCAACACATTTCCTCTCGTCCACCAACGCCTCACATGCCCCATGAGCAAACGCAGCACATGCTTCAGACAGGCATACCACACATGTCGACAAACAGCACGCCGCAAAGCGAAGCGAGTAGCACAGGCTGACCAGGCACAACACGCGTCGCCGATCACGCCGTCGAGCGAGAGACCGGGGTACGACTGGAGACAAAGAACTCATGCTCCTGACCTGCACCAGAGACAAGGCACCCTATGCCGATGAACACCCGCCACTCGACCACGACAGCACACGCTCACAGCGCCCAAGAAATTCAGGCACATGACATAATGTCGCCTATGTCAGCCACGAGCACGTCTCCGACCAGCAGTCACTACTGTGGGGTCAGCATCTTCTGCCCCTCCACTTCGAGATACCCCGCAGGACGCGGGCCCGTACCACTTCAGCACCCACATGCTCATATAGGATAGCGACGATGGCCTGCTCGAGCTGCTTGTCGGCGGTCGTCGCAATCAAACGGCGCAGCTTCGAGTCGAACATCTTTTCAATTCTGAACAAGCGAATCAAGAGCTGCGCATGAAGGGAACCTGGAACGAAACTGCCCATGCATTTCCGTACGATGGCCTGCTGCTCAGTCGACCCTTTGGTCCCGAGCACGAGCGCCGCACTTGCAAACTGAAACGAATCTGGAGCACCGAGCTTGTGGCCCTTCTGGCCCATCACCCGCGGCAAGTACTCCTGGTCGCGAGCGCTTTACATACTCACATAAGTAGCATCCTCCACTTTCAAAACGAACTGATACGTCACAGCGGCTTCCAGGAGCCTCGTACGTTGCGCACTGATCACCCCTAGCTTCAGCGCCACTTCGGCCTTGGCCTCCGTCGACGAAGCCAGGGCAACACGCTTCGCCCGAGACGAGTCCCCCGCCGCAGCTGCTGATGCCGCAGGCTTCTCCCTCATTTTGTCGAAGAGAACCCCCCACTGCTGTTGCATCTTCAGAGAAGAATATATTGTGTGTCTAGTGGAAGGTGTACGCGAAGATGCCAACGAGCCGACGCGTAGCTACTGAAACTCAGATCACATATCTCACAGGAGTACGGAGGGCTGGTGGCATGACTGTGTTGAACCGCAGAACCACTGGACCGAGGGCACTTACCAAGTTCAAGACTCTTTTCCAGGTGAGAGCTAGCATATCTTTTGATGGTATATATGTTGCTACACAGAATACACGCATTGCTGATAGTAACAATTCGAGCAAGAACTCGATGCCCATGATTAGGCTGCCGAGAATTAGCTTGATGTAACAGTAGTTGCCTTTTTAGTCGGGCACGAGGCCCCACAGACTCCCTCCGACTCCCCAAGACTGAGATCGCATTTGAAGTCACCCACAGACGGAGGAGGAGGGGGAGGAGGAGGCGCGGGAGGCACCCCAGAAGGAGGAGGCACCCCAGAAGGAGCGGAAGACGAGGACGAGCCCCCAGGAGCCCCCGAGGACCCAGACGGGGCGCCGATCTCAGCCTCGACAGGCGGAGCTATCTGTTTTCCTGTGCACTCGCTGCGCAATATCTGCGGGTCAGCCGAAAGAAATTCCGTGCGCACATCCACTGAACAAAACAATGCCGCAGGATAACGCTCGACTTCAGCCGCAACATCGGCAAACTCGGCTACCCGAGCAAAATCCATAAAGTCTGTAAGAAACTGAGTCCACCATTCGCTCGGCCTCCCATTTAAATACCCCTCCCGATCCACGAATTTATTTTCCCCCCATTCCGCCTGACCAAACAGAACTCCTATCGCTTGTAAATTACTGAGAGGCCAGCGCACAAAATTTTGCATCCACGTCAGCCGCTGCATGCGCAGCCGCAGGGATACAGGACACAGCCGCAGCTGACAGTGAATGTCGTGCGTGGTTCTCGCTTGGCATTTCATCCCATCCTCCATCCCCTCCTTGATGCACCCCTCCCCCTTCATCACGCGACGAGCAAGAATCGCTTGAACTCCATCCAAGCGTGAGCAGCAATCAGACGTCACCACAAGTGAGACCAAGCCTGACGTAAGGGCGCCTTCGATAACAGCGACTCTTCCATTTCAAATTCGTACAGCTATGCCAGAACCGTCCCAGAAGCCCAAAACTTTGCCTCGCCTTTTAAATCCTGCGGGGATATTCATCACTGCAACTTCCGTCGGGACCCAGGTACCTGCAACTACGATTCACGCGCCCAGGAACACTCTCACCAGTGCGCAGTTGCCAGGGCCCAGACGACCGATCAAAGTAACCCCCAAAAAACACGTCGCCGAGAGGCATGGGCACCTTTGCCCGCGAAGTGCACCAGACACTCCTGCTTGCCGCTATTGAGAGCCACCCCACCGATAGCGACTCGTTCTTGAAGTCTCGTGGGGTTCTCAGAACTTAGTCTGACAAACCCATCGCACGATCGCAGCAACTGAGTGCGACGCAGATCATCAGCGAAACTGGTGAAAGAAACATCGATCGCACGATCGGCCCACGAGCGCAGAGCAAGCCGAGCACTCTCATCTTCCCCTAAACAGTGCTTAAGCCACGGGACCCTGACGCTAAGCCCAGGACTCTCTTCCCCAGGATATCCATCCAAACACCGATGATAAGCCCCTAAAAACCATACCGGAGCCACTGTGTCCCCAGGTAACGTTCCAGAACCCAAGGCAACCTCCAGAACACCATCAACACATTCGAGAGACATTTGCCTATGATTAAGTCTTTCTTCAAACAGAGCCGCTGCAAAAGGGGACGCGTGCTGCCTCACGAACATCTTGAAAAGCCAGTGCTCCACGCTGTGAAATGC